ATAATGAGCATGTATATGGATCAGAGATGAAACATTAGAACATTAAAATTGAAAGCCAGACACTTAATCTAGTCAATATCAGCTTTCCATTATACAGAAGAAGCAGAAAAATAACCTCAATTGCCTTTCAGCCTGTGGGCTGTTGTACTTAACAATACCATGAATAAAAAAATCTGGAGCAGAAATGATTATCATTTATGATTTTTTCCTGCAAAGCCCTGGGATTTGGAGGTGAATTCCCAGGAATTAATGTAAAAGCAATTTGCATAGGCATTGAAGAGTTCTCCAAGGACCAAGAAAAACAAAATAAACTCACTTTAGGTTAAAATTTATAGGAAGAAAACTATATACTATTATATACAGTACCCATTCAATTACCTGCACAAAATTTAAGTAGAATTTTTTCTGCAATAATATTCAGCAATATGAATACACGTTATAAAATAATATATGTTCCATTTATTTTTCCTCATTAATCTATTTCTCAATAATTATCCAGCACTGACTTTTTAAAATTTTTTTTTCAATTGAGGTAATGTAGATTTAGTGTATCCACCATTAAATCACTTAATAGTTCATCACCATAGTCCACTGCGCTGCCTTCCCCATTGTCATTACTCCCTCCCCCGCCTTGGAATTGCTCCTTTCTAGTCAGCTTTCAAGGATTAGTTTTTCAATTTGGCTTTATCTGACCATTTATTTGGTTTCTCTATATTCCACTTATAAGTAATGACATCCGTTATGTATATTTCTCTTCTGACTTATTTCACTAAATACCCTTTCCTGTTTCAGGTATTATTGTTGCAAATTTTATGAGCTTATTTTTTTGATAGCTGAGTAGTATTCCATTGTGTATATATATATACCACACACATATATATATACCACACCTTTTTTTTAAAGATTTATTTATTTATTTATTTATTTATACAAGCACTGGGTACAGTCAGAAGCACGTGAGGGTGAGAGAATTCACCAGAACCAGAGCGGGGAACAGAACAGGCAGACTGAGAGGTCTGTTGCGCTATGTGGGACCCTCTCCTGTGGCCAGGGATCAAACCGGTGCTGCAGAGGCTGTGGTCAGCTTCGCAGCCCAGCGCTCAACTGCTGCGCCACCAGGGGAGGCCCTTTTTATTTTTTCCCAAGCTCCAGGTTTTGTTTTCTTTTTTCTTTTTTAAAGATTTATTTATTTATACAAGAACCAAGGTACAGGCCAGATGCACGGGAGGGTGAGATAATTCACCAGAGACAGAGGGGGAACAGACAGGCAGACCTATGAAATACACTGCTGAAGGAAGCAGCGTGTGCCACAGGAGAGGTCTGCTGTGCCATGTGGGACCCTCACTGGCTGGTTGGGATCAAACTGGCACTGCAGAGGCTGTGGACAGCTTCACAGCATGGTGCTCAACCACCTGCACCAACAGGGGAGGCCCTATACTGCACCTTTTTGATTCACCATTCCTATTTTAGGTATACTTAGGTTGTTTCCATCACTTGCCTGTTGTAAATAGTGTTGCAGTGAATATGGAGGTGCAGGTTTCCCTTCAAATTAGTCTTTTTGCATTATTTGGGCAAATACCTAGGAGTAGAATTACTGGGTCATATGGCAGATCAAATTTTAATCTTCTGAGGAATCCCCATACTGTTTTCCAAAGGGGCTGGACCAGTCTACATTACCACCAACAATTTAAGAGGGCTCCTTTTTCTCTACATCCTCTCCAGCACTTGTTTCTGGTATTTTTGTACATAGACCATTCTTACAGGATTGAGATGGTATCTTATTGTTGTTTTGGTGGGAATTTCCTGACATTAATTGATATTGAACAGTTTTCCATGTGCCTGTTGGCCATTTGTATATCTTTTTTTTGCAGAAGTACCTATTTAGCTCTTCTGCACACTTTTCGACTGGGTTACTTGTTTTCTCTTTGTTGAGTTGTGTGGGTCCTTTGTGGATACTCATCACTATGTTTATGACCCCATTACTAATAGCATGTCCTTAATGCAGTTTTTTGGTGCTCAGGCCACTACCATCTTTATGAATAATACAGTAAACTGTGGTTTTTACATTATAGGTACAATTCAAACATTTACAGAAGAATAAAAAGTACTAATATTAACATAATCTGCAAAAAATTTTGCAAAAATTTGATTCGGGGTTAAATACGCAACAGCCTAAATGAATGATAGAATCTCCTTGAGATGTTTTAAATGTGGGCATTACATTAAGTAATGATTGATTTCACAGTAGATGAAAAGTATGTTTTTTTTTTTTTAGGCACATTTAATTTAATATGAAGAGTGCAATACAAAAGGCCAAATACAATGAAGAACCACATTCCCGCACGAATATCAATGACAATTTTCTTATAACCTGTGCCTATTGAATGGAATAGGGGTTTAGTAAGTTTTACTACTAAAAAAATTTAAAGCAGTGAGTCCCATCACAGCCAATATCCTTATACAATCTGGTTGTCAAATGAATGTTTATAATGCTTCACACAGTTAAAACCTCAAATTAGATACCTTACCTTCATGTTTGTACAGTCCTCAGTAAGAGTGTCTGTAGTATTAGCAACCATTCAAACAACAAACCATTGATTAAAACCACATTGACTTAAGTCTCAGCAATATAGAGCCCCAAAAGAAATGGTTAATATATGAATTATACGTACTGATGTCTATTATTTGATTCTCTCATAACTGTTGAGTTGGTTCTTAGCAAATAAACCTTTACAGGCAAAATTCACCTCATTTGAGTTTTGACCAGAAGTTCAACAACAATCACATAGTCTACAGTCTTATTGGCAAAACTCATATACAGTGTGTATAAGTCACTATGCTCAAGGTTAGGAACAATGTATATTCCATTTTTATCTTTTATTGAAATTTTACATGATAATTTAAAATTTTACATGATCAATTAAAATTCATGATTTTAAATCTCTAGGTTTTCATTCCTTCAAATTGTCTGAAGACACAATGTGCCACAAACTTAAGACTTCTGTTTCTTCCCCTATTTTCTTCAACAAACATTTATCAAGTATCTACATGTTTTAGAAGGGAAATATTTTGGAAGTGGCCACTTCTTCGGAATAGGCTGACACTATCAGGCCTTTATCAGGCATAAACTTCTAGGCACTCAGTTTATTTTGGGCATGTTCAAGTTTGTCTTTACTCTGTTCAAATTACACATGCCTAAATTGAAAATTCCCCTGAATGTAACAAGTTGCAATTACATGTGAAAATATGAGGGGCATATGACTACATCTGAAATATGACCTCAAGAATTATTTATCTAATTCTGATAAATTTTAATCGCATGGGTATGGTATGAGTACTAAACTTGATCTAACTTGATTGTGCAGTAGATAATCATTTGCCTCTGGCTGTTTTTGGTCAACACAATGCTTTTGAGATTCAGTCATGTTGTTGCCTGTATTTCTGTCTAGTTCTTTTTAACTGCTTATTAATAGTCCATTATATATATTTATCACAACACGTGTAGCCATTAACCTGTTGATGGACAGTTTGGTTGTTTCCAATCCTTGATGCTTAGGAATAAAACTGCCATAAGCATTTTTGCATGATTCATTTTATGGACACATATTTTCATTTCTCTTGAATCAGTGTCCACAATTGACATTGATGGATCATATGGGTAAATGGGCATTTAAGTCAAGGTGGCCATACACATTCATGTTCCCACTACTCATGTATTTAGAATTCTATTTATTCTGAGTTTTCATCATTTCTTGGAACTATCACTTTTCTTTGTTGTTTGAATATAGAAATTAATTGAATTTAAGAAATCAACTTAGGAGTGCAGTAGTATCTGATCATGCATTTTTCAAAATTCCCCAATGACTAATAATTTTGAAAAATTTCTCCTATGTTTCTTTCTTTCTTTTTTTTTAAATTCATTTATTTATTCATACAAGCACTGGGTACAGTCAGAAGCGCGGGAGGGTGAGAGAACTCACCAGAGCCAGAGAGGGGAGCAGAGCAGGCAGAAGGACTGAAGTACACTGAGGGGAGCAGCGGGCGGCAGGAGAGGTCTGTGCGCCATGTGGGACCCTCCTTAGGGGGCCGGGGAGCAGCTGGGAATCTAACCAGTGCTGCAGAGGCTGCGGGCAGCTTTGCAACCCAGTGCTCAACCGCTGTGCCACTGGGGAGGTCCAAATTTCTCCTATGTTTCCTGGCCATGTCTTAGTCTTCTTCTTTAGACTTGCTTTGAAGTTTTTATTTGGGTTGCTTCTTACTATTGAGTTAGGAGTCACTTTTAAATTCTAGTTTCAGATCTACATTGATAAGTTTTTTTCCCCCTCTATCAGTCTGTGGCATGATGTTTCATTTTTCTTAATGCTCTAATTTGAAGCATAATTTTTTTTATTTTACATAAATGACATTATGCCTTTTACGTATCTCGCTTTTATTTTCACAAATACAGTGACTTTAGAAAAGCTTTCTACCATTTATCCAAACTTCTCCTTAGGAATTTGTTCACATATATTTTTCTTTCTATAGGTAGTAATAACCACCTAGAAGTTCATCGTTCCTCTGAAAATGTTTCTGTTTATTAAAAATTACTAGAATAAGCCACAGTTAAAACAAGTAATTTCTGAAGCTCTTTTATTTCTTCTTGTAGATCCTAAGTTCTATTTGGTATCACTTTTCTTCAATCTAAAGAATGTCTTAGTAAAGGACTCACTGTATTCCACATATGGATTTCTGTCCCCTTCCCTGCATATATAGCTCTGTCCTCTCCAATAACTTTCCTTGCCACTTAGAGCTGCTTCAACTTACCTGACCTTTGGCCTTTCCCTACTCATTTCATCATTATCTTATCTGAGTTTTCCTTCTCATTGCTATCTTGTACTGTTCATCGTGTCATACTCTAAAACAGTTACTTTCATATTTATCTGCTTTTATGTCAAGGAAGAGAGAAAGACTGGGGGAGAAGGGGAAGAGAATGGAATCTGATGCATTCATTTTATTTCCAGGATCTCTCTTCAAGTCTCTCCAACACATCAACCAGTGAGACACATCTTAGAAATTCTACTATATTTGAGCAATGGAATAACTGCTCACTAATCAGGTAAATATCTTTATTACTTAATTTAATTTTTATAATTTTAAGTTTATCTGTTTCTTGTGCTTAACTTATCACATCTTATAATTTAAATCTGTTGGAAAGTGCAGTATTTCTTTATTGGTACACATTTGTAGTTATGTAATTTTGAGTCAATATGGCTTGAATGTGAAAGTCCAGTGATTGTTTTTATGTAAGTTAAACAAATGCAAATTATAGAGGATGGATACTGAGCAAAAAAGAAACTTGTAGTCTCAACTTCCATTAAGACAACATGATATTCCAGATTGCTTGAAAGGACAGATGAGTCAGAAATGCTATTTATAGTTGGAGGAAAGGACTGTAGAATTCAAGTGGAAATTAGACTCATATACTTTGGAGTAGCCAGGGTAACTGAATTAGAAGTAGAAGCTGCAAAATGAGAAAAATTGTAGAATTTAAGCAACAGAGAAAAAAGACTGTGGCTTTGGATAGGAACTTACTAATGAAAACAGCATTTCCTTAGAACCAATGCTATTTCAGATCAAGTGCAAGAGGACATTTTACTAAAATGAATTATAAGTGTAATAAAAGTACGTAATGGGTGGCTGATCAAAATAACTGTTAAGATTTCCATGTCTGTTTTGAATATCATATATATATATATATATATATAGTTAAAAACATAGCTGTGAGATAAAAGAGTGACTTCAAATCCTAAGTTTAGCATTTATAAGAAGTGTTAGGGGAATTACTGTTGAGCTTCAGTGTTCTCTACAAAATGGATTTGTGGTATAAAGGATTGTGATGGAAATTAACGAGCTAATTTGTATAGTTTTAGCATACTGTCTACCATAAACAAACCTCCAATTAGGAATTATTATTACTCATTTATTTTGTCATCATTTTCATCATCAGTCCACAAAAATCTATCCTGAGAATTGGTTATATCTGCAATCATTTCACAAGAAAGGAGACTATAGTGATGAGGGGTAAGATGGTTTTTAGATGGGAACCATGGGAAATACTTAAACCCTTGGAAGTAGGAAAGATGTGGAAATAAGCTGAGGATGTGAGAAACCTGTGCTGATGGCAAATAGGAAAACTTAAGCATAATATAGGATCATAGGTATCACGGAATATCATATCAGAAAGGTACACAATGAGTTTTAGAAATTAGCATCAAAGTGACGATTGAATAAATAGGTGCAGAACACTTAGAAAGTAGTTTGTCACTACATACAATCAGCTAAAAACTTCCCATGCCAAGGGACTTGGTAAAACAATTCCCAGCAAGCTATTCTACAAAAATAATGCATTAATGTTTTTATCTCAGTATTACTTATACTAAGCTTCTGATTTATACCAAATAAATAATAAGGAAATGACTGAGAAATTAATACATATTATTTATAATAAAATCATTTAAATAATTAAATGTAGTAATTTGGAAAAAAATTTTCAAAATGCTGTATTTATAGAATGGTTATGATAACAAAAGAAATTCAGTCATAAAATGGAAAATGTCTAACCTACACAAGTAGGTTAAGATGCTAATATTAAAATGCTAAAATTGGAATAGGTCTTTTCTCTATTTTTGTTTTTTTGTACAAATTTCTTTCAAGAATAAAATAATTCTCTTATGAAAGATATATAAGCTGTTATAAAAACAGGCTATTTATTTTTTTAAATAATGATTAGTCATTTCCTCTCAGAAATACTTATCATAAACATGCAGATGCTCTAATGACATTGTAGAGTCTCTGGTTCAGCTGAATGTTCATACATTGTAGATGGTGATCACAGGTGTATTTCTCCTAGCACTTTCTGTGAATACCTTTGTAGCTGAGATGTGTCCAGCTTTAGTGTATCTCTTATAAACATTTTTATCAGTCTTTGTTTTCAGTCAGTCTTCCCAGGAGCTGAGAATGTTCTTTCTTCTGTTGATTCAATATCAGTTTTCCTATAGATTATACTCTGAAATCCAATCCCTCTTCTACAACAGTCTTCCAAATGCATAGACACTAGTCAGACAAAAATAATATAGCAACAATAAAAACACATAAATTCTCATGTTCCTGCTGTTGAGCCTCCCCATTTGCAATTTACCCATCTTCCTTAAAGTTTGTTACTCAGATTTGAATGCTTCTTTGTAGTTTTGATCTCACCAGCTCAGAACAGAAAGAGACCATCATCTCTTTTCCTTTCCATTAGTGAAACTTAAAATATTAAGCTAGTGCTTCCTGACTTTATTGGGAAAACATTTTTAAAGGGGCATACTTTATAAGCAAAGATTACCTCTGACATTTAAGCTTGATCACAACTGACTTTTTAATGAAAAAAAAATCAAAACCATTTCTATGTTTCCCATCCTCTCAACTTCCAAGGAATCAATAAAACTACCAAAATCTCCCCACAAAGCTTGCATTCCACTCAATAAGGTGTTAGTAAATCAATACAAGTAAAGAAAAATTATTTTATGGGAGCAAAAACTTACACTCTATTACATTTAACTGCTTAATCATACTGTACACTACATTTTAAATATGTTTTCTCAAAAAAAAGGAACTATACCTGTGGCTTTTCTTTGCTATGCTTTCACATATTTCTTACAACTAAAAGTATGATTATATATAAAGAACATTTTTTCCTGATCAAACAATGTGTTATTGATTGATTGAGACATATGAGGTTTATTCAGCCTACTCCTTCCTTCCTTGAGATGCTCTCTTGAATTATAGTTGACATAAATTGATTTAAGTGACTACTTCAAGAATGGGTGATTTTCAATTGTCTTTAAGTTCTCATGGATGACTTTTTCTTGGATGAAACCTCTAGGATGAATATAAACACATGCCTCCTATGATTTCAGTGAACATCCATAAAGTATTAGTATACTATGCTTGTTAAAATCCTGTTTTACAATAGTATTTTTAATCAAGTCACTTTTATTTTAGGGCCAAGGTAATTTTATGGTCTTAAGTTGGCCACTTTTTTTCTTTTTGTTAGGTAACATTTGTTGACAACATTGTATTTGACTCAGGGGAATAGGTTCATACTATTACAGGGCAACCCCGGTATGAAACAAGTTGCATGACTGTGAGTCCGCACCTGCACACTTAAAAGGGACTAATTAATGGTAAACTGCAGGCATGCACAAAAGCTTAATAAAAGATTTATTTATGAGGGAAAGGGTAATGAAGAAATGAATAACTCAGGGAGAAAAAGAGGGAGATAAATTTGTGAATGCATCCTATGTGTTCCACTGACCTGGAGTCCCAATGACCCAATGAGTGCTGGCAAAAAGCCACATGCCATGAGGCCAAGAGAGTGACCCCCATATGGCTGGTTATATACACAAACTAAAAAACATGGCTGCTTAACTCCACCCTCAGGTCCTAACAACCCTCCCGATGGTGATTATGGGATTTGTAGTTCCCGGTGTCTTGATGGAGTGGGTGTGGAGTCCACAAAACCTGTATGGAGTTTGCTCAGGACATCCTTTTCCTCTAACAATACCTCTTTAGGTATTTTACACTACCACAGCCACCAAAACACCCTTAGTCTTGCATCATAGTCCATTGGGCACACTCTCTTGTTTGTTACCTATCCTCACTCTCTTCCTCTAGAAACAAAACAAAGGAAAAAATAAAACTAAAGCAAAACACACCCTAGAAAAATGACTTCAGAATTGAGGTTATTTTGTCTGTCTATGGAATAATTTATCTACATTTTTTAAACTCCTGGCAAGGATGCATATAGTTTCCCTGAATTCTCCTATACCACACTGTTAGCTAAGCTATGCAGCTATGCGAAAAGACCATTTGGTGCAGGGACTGTATCATCTCAACAGTTAATTGATGGATGGTGAGGACTTGTAACACTGATGAACAGTCAGAACAAGAACTTTAAATTGTAGATTAAAATTAGACAACACTAATGCATGAATTCCCAAACTACAGTTTTAAACTCAGGGTACAAAACAAAATAAGTGGGCTTAAAAATCCATTCTGAAGAGCAGGCATATTATGTTGAAGTAAGAAGAATATATTACTCACCATTTGAATCACTATGCAAGGGGCAGATATATTTCACATGCAGAGATAAAGAAACTAGCCTATATTCTCTCAGTAGTTAATAATAGATTATATTAATGCACTGAAATAATACCTTTTTCACAGAGGCAGTTACCTAAAAAAAATAATATTTCTTATGGCATTCTGTCCCTGCATTCTAATTCATTGCTCAAATTTTCATGATTCCATTAAGAATACAGCCCTTTTTAAAACAATGATGGACCAGTCATTAACTAAAAGTGAGTTTATTCATATTCAGGTTTTTTGGCCTCCAGATAAGGACTTTTCTATTGATAGTCATGCTTGGCATCAAAAAGAGATCCCATAGGGGTAAAAAATTACTATGTTTTGAAACATTTAGTAATTTCAGAAAATTGGAATAATTTTCAGTAATACCAACCACTACATATGCATTCACTCTCATACACACATTATGTTTCTTAATATCGTGAACTAAAATCATATCATTGTTTTTTGCCTTACTTACTTCTGTCTCTCCAAATAGAACATAAAGGAAAAGTTCTTATTTGTCCAGTTTTGAAAACCACGATGGCAAGTAAGGTGTCTGGATCACTCTACTCAGTCAAGTAGGTACTCTGTTTTTTGTTGTTGTTGTTAATCAAACTAATCAATGATGCAAATTACACAAATATTTGTTTATTTGTTAATAAAACTATTGAAGGTATAAATAATTGAATACTGAACTATTATAATTGTGGCAAGGGATATCAGGATTCTTGTCTTCATTTATAAAACATAGAAAGATATCAGCTTACCTAAAAATTGAAATAGAAGGTTGGAATGAAATTATTGGCTCCAGGGCCTCTCTGGTGGCGCAAGGGGTTAGGATGTAACCTATGAAGCAATCCCTAGCCTCTGCAGCAAAAGTTCGATCCCTGGCTGGCCAGGGAACAACCCACATGGCACAGCAGACCTCTCTTGTCTCTCCCGCTGCTCCCCTCAGCAGTGTATTTCAGTCAGTCTGCCTGTTCTGTTCCCCACTCTGTGTCTGGTGAATCCTCTCAAACCCCCACATCTCTGGCCTGTACCTCAGCCTTGTATGCATAAATAAATAAATCTAAAAAAAATAAAGAAAATGTTGGCTCCAGATTTTCTGGCATTTTTGTGTTAATGATTGAATGGATACTATTAAAATGGCAACTATTTTGTTGACGTTGATTTTGTAGTGTCAGCAAGACATTTAAAGGGAAATATCTTTACAAATTTGAAAATGCAATTTTAATAAAAATTAAGATGTCAATGATGACGAATAATAGTCATTATTTATGTAGAAGAGCTGCTAACATTTATTTGAATGCTTATATTCATTGAAGCAATCTAAGAATTGAATTTCTGGAAGTTTAATAAAGATATATTTAATAGGATTTCTCACGTGATACTGCACATTTCTATCAGTTTTCTTGATTTCTATGTATTTTTTTTTCCATAATCATGGATATTTGATCATAATCTCACCTCTCACTGGTCATCTTCTAGTGAAGTCAGTCTTTAATCTTCTTTTCTTTCACACTTCACCTTTTAGGTTTCAGTATGAAACTGTTATAGATATATATGGGTATATAACTATATATGTAATTCTGTTTATATATTTCTATGAAACTGCTTTTTTTTTTTAAAGATTTATTTATTTATATATACAGAGGTGCAGGAGGTGAGAGAATTCATCAGAGACAGAGTGGGGAACAGAACAGGCAGACAGACTGAAACACACTGCTGAAGGGAGCAGTGGGTGAGACAGGAGAGGTCTACTGCACCATGTAGGTAACTCCCTGGCAGGTGAGGGATAGAACTCATGCTGCAGAGCCTGCGGACAGCTTTGCACTGCTGTGCTTAACCCCTTGTGCTGCCAGGGAGGCCCTCTATGAAACTGTTATATCAGGATCAGATATCTAAATTGCTAACTTCAACCAAAGAAGACAAGTTTCACTGACAACTCAAGCCATATACAACATGAATTCATTGGGGTGGGGAGTAGAAAATTCAGATTACAATAATGTAAGGGATACAATTCAGTTGCCAGTAAGGAAAAGGTTATGAAACTTTTGGTAAGGCTTGGGAAAGAGCAATGCAGAGAAGGAAGGTCCCAGTTCATTGACTTCCTGGAAGACTTGCTTCTGCAGGGAGGGGAAGGCCACTGTTCAGATTGAAAGTCCCAGGCAGCTCTCACCAAAACCCAACAAGTCTCAGGAACTTTAATCTGATTCCTATATTTGTACACCTTTTAAGAAGCATATTTTCAATACCACCTGTTAATTTTAATATAATTTTAATTCAGCCATATTTTTATCTATGCTGACCTTTCTCATGTCTGTTTATCAGTGTCTTCATAAACAAGTGGTTGCTTTAAAATTGTGTAATTGATAAGTTGCTCTGTCTCCACCTTTCAATCAGTCAGAGTTACTTCACACATAATTTATTTTCACTCAGTCACATGAGATCCTGCACTACCCCCTCCCTCCCAAAACAGGCCTTTTTTCTAGATGAATTAATAGCTCCATGTGCTTTAATTTCATCTTTTTTTTTTCCTGAGATAGTGTAACAAACATATGTTGAGCACCCTCTATGTGGCAGGTGCTGTAGACCCATCAAATATATCACTTTAACAAAACAAATATTTTTGTTTTCTTGGGATTTATATTACTGCAGGAGTGACATGGGATAATAAATAATGGAAACACTAAATAAGGAAATGATGTGGTTTAGTAGAAGTGATAAGAGCTAATAGGAAAGAGAAAGGAAAGTAGGCTGTAGAAGATCAAAAGTATGAATTATCAGTAGCAATTCTAAATAGGTTGTTAAATTAGATATTATAAAAGGAGGTAAGGTATGAGTAAGGATGTAAAGAAGGTAAAGAGATACTCTTGCACAGATAGGACCCATCAACTACAATATACGTAAGATAATTTGGTGAAGTGATAGTAAGGAGAAAATCATGAATGCTTAAAGTCCACAAGATAATGCATTATTCAGAGACATTGTGTATTTGCTGTTCTTAGTGTAATACATCATAAGATATTCAACCACTACTTTAGAATTCTAGTGCTCTTTTAAGAAAAGTTTGGAATGATACAGATGGTCTTTTCTGCAGCTGACTCCCCTTCGTATGTTTGAGTAATTTATTTTCACCACATTGGGTAGTTTCATATTCTAGAAACAGACATACAAAAAGATAAAGGTAAACATTTTCCCAAACTTTTTTGTAGCTGGAATCTAATGATATGATCACAGTTCCACTAATAGACTAATCTATCCAGATACTAAAATAAAAACGGTGTGCATAAGCAGGAATGACGTATGATGTAGAGTCTAGTTTTTTGAAGGGTCTGCAAAGTGACACATCAGTTTCCAGAGGCAGAAAAGGGAACAATTAATGATGGTGAAGCTACAGGGTCTGTGCCTAGTAGTGATTCTACTAGACCATTTCTTTGTTAAATTAGCTAGCTCCTGTCTTTATTTTCCAAGACAAGACAAGCTTTGCATACCTCTCACAAATTTGCATTTAACCAAATATACTTTAATCATTTTATTTCCTGCTAAATTCTGGCAGATTTATTTGCTGCTGTTTCCATACCAAACAAAAAAAATGTATACTAACTGGTAGGAAACAGATACAAATATGGACATTATATGGAAAAACACACAATAATTAAAGTCAAAGGATGAAGGGTGCAAATTAAAACATTAAGACGAAAGGAAGATAAAATTGAGTGGGAGTATTTGGTGAGTTACTTTGAAGAAAGAAGGCTATGAACACAGTCTATGTGTTCTCAGACTGAGCACAGCAGTCTAAAAATTGGAGAGAAACCAATAAATGCTCTGTGAATTGTGGTAAAATTATGAAGTACTTCATGCAATGATCAAATTCCATAGAGTTCACTGGAAACATTCAAGGGTATTTATTTATTGGAGATCATTTTAGTGACATTATCAAAAATGCTCTTCCACCTCATTTATGGAAACACTGAGAAATACTGATATTATTTATTTATGCATGAGTACCCTATGATATAATGCTTTTTTGCTTCCTGTATGTAAATATAAATTTGCCGTGCCTACTAGCTTACATTCCCAGCAGGGCATGCAGTATTCGTTTTGCTTTTTTTTTCTTATGTCCTTGTCTAAAATGTGTCACTAGGATGTTCTTTAATGTATTAGGGATTCTCCGTGTGTTTCTCAGCGTCTCTTGTGCCTACAAATGTTTGCTTCCCTAGCCTACTTCTCATCACAGGCAGTTTTCAGAATACATTTGACTGCTGATTGGACTCCCAGGTATTCCACCACAATTTGGTTTTCAATCTGGGCTTCTGTCTGTTGAACTGAACACTGATCTGTGCTTTGTTAGTTATATCTCTGCATGTTGTCAAGGACCAAGGGGAGCATGTACAGAGGGTTCTCGTGGGAGAGTCATCCTAATACTCCCTTCCGAGGTTTGTAAGTGGAGCTGAGCTCCTTTAGTAATCTTAACAAAAACCTATGGGCCCCAGAGGTTCCGCTGCTGAGAGATTTGTCAGGTGTTTTGAGACTGGTTTCGAATCTTCCACTGATCTATCTCTTTTAGGTGAGGCGCTTGACTCACTTTGAATGTTGAATACCAGCTGCTTATATTAAAATTGAGTACGATTGAGACCTCTGCTCGGGGGTATAGAACACATTCACTCCTGACTCCTATAGGAATGTCCTGCTGGTTTCCAGAAACCTATCCTGGCTATTTAAATCAGGGATAATATTTTTCACGCTGTCATTCATCATTTCACATGAATACTATTAACAAAAGCCCCAGAAACAAACTTCTATTTATCAAACAAATGTTACCTCAGTAATTATAAAAACTATGCTTTTTGAGATTACTTGATTTACAATACTATACATGATTTAAATGTATAGGTTCACAACTCTTTAGATTTAGTGGGTTGTCAGAAAAGTCATGACACATTTTCTTTATGTTTTTCAAAGAAAAAATACATCATGACTTTTCTGACAATCCAATATATTACAACACCATACCTTCACCAAATTGTCTGTGATAACTATATAGTTCACTGGAACCCTTCCACCTTTTTTTGCACCCTGCATTAACTCTCCCTTCTGGGGACCCCAATTCTGAAATTAGCTTTCAAGAGTTTGTTTTAGGGCCTCCCCTGGTGGCGCAGCGGTTGAGCACTGGGCTGCAAAGCTGCCCGCAGCCTCTGCAGCACCAGTTCGATCTCTTGCTGCCTGTGAGGGTCCCACATGACACTGCAGACCTCTCCTGCCGCACTCGCTGCTCCCCTCAGCAGTGTATTTCATCAGTCTGCCTGTTCTGTTCCCCTCTCTGGTTCTGGTGAATTTTCTTACCCTCCCGTGCTTCTGACTGTACCCAGGGCTTGTATAAATAAATAAATAAATCTTTTTTTTTTTTTTTTAAAGTTTGTTTTAGTTTTAATTTGCTGTTCCTTTGCTTTGTCACTTTATAGTCCACTATCAGTGAAATCATATAGCATTTGTCCTTCTTCCTTTGACTTACTTTACTTAGCATAATCCCCTCTAATTCTATCCACATGGTCACTTTATAGCTGGATCATTGAGTCATTGAGTATATACACCATATCTTCTTTATTCATTTATCTTTTGTTGGGCACTTAGGTTGTTTATATAACTTGGCTATTATAAATAGTGCTATAGTGAACACATGAATACATATATCTGTTTTAATTAGTGGTTTTGTATTCTTTTTGTGGATATATAACTATGGCGGGGGGTGGATCATATGCTATATCTTTTTAAAAAAATGTTCATTTATGCTTACAGGAACTGGGGTACAGGCCAGAGGTGTGGGTGGGTGGTGAGAGGATTCACCGGGAACAGAACAGGCAGACTGACTGAAATATACTGCTGAGGGGAGCAGTGGGCAAGACAGGAGAGGTCTGCTGCACCATGTTGGTAGCTCCCTGGCCAGGCAGCGATTGAACTTGTGTGGCGCTGGCTGTGGATAGCTTCATAGCGCTTTGCTCATTAACTCCTTGCAGCACCAGGGAGGCCCTCATATGTTATATCTTGTTTCAAGAAATTTTCATACTGTTTTTCATAGAGTCTGAACTAGTGTATATTCCCACCAAAAATGAACAAGTGTTCCTTTTCTCCACATCCTCACCGATGCTTGTTGTTTCTGGCCTTTTTGAGGCGGGCGATGCTCACAGGTGTGAGATAGTATCACATTGTGGTTTTGATTTGCATTTCACTCATCATGAGTATAAATGAGAATTTTTTTCATGTGCCTGTTGGTCTGTATGTCTTCTTTGCACAAGTGTTTATATCTTCTGTCCATTTTTTTATTGGATTCTTTGTTTTCTTTTAATGAGTTGTAGGAGTTTATTATAGATGTTGGATAGCTACCCTTGTCAGGTGTATGATGGGCAAATATTTCCTCCCATTCAGTAGGGTGTCCTTTCTTTTTAGACAGTTTCTTAAATTGTGCAGAAGCTTTTTAGTTTGTTGTAGTCACGTTTGTTTATTCATGCCTTGATTTTCATGCCATTATAGTGAAGTCCCCAAAGGTATCACTAAAGCCAGTGTTACGGAATGTCAGGAACAAACTTCTAGAAGTTTGTCTTTGTCATTTGTGAATCAGACTCCTCTGTTCATTGTTGTGTTCATTGTTCCCTTAATTATCTGGAATGGGTGAGTATTCATGAATAATGTCAAACTTTTAAAGATTAAAATTTAAAGTCTGTATTTTATTCAGGAAAGAAAATGCCTTGCAATCTTAAGGACAATCTCCTATATGTAAGGTCACTGTATTGAATAATACTTTTAGAAGTTTGATATAACACATCACTTTTTTTTCTTAACAGTATTGTTTTTGGTCCTGGGCAGGATGGAAACTTCCTTACCTCCCATACCTTATTGTGGCCACATACCATAGACACACTAAAACTGTCAATATATGATCACATATAGGTCACAATAGAATTTATTATCAAATCAAGAACATGAACAAGATAGATGAAATTCCTGGAGATTGATAGTCTTGTCTAAATGAACATTTAATTATGATTCCTATATGAGGATAATATATAATGAGAATGATAAAAGACAATTATTTCCATCAAATTCACATCTCAGAAGTAACAAATGAAACTATGATCTGTTCCTTAGAATAATGACATCATATTTACAAAACAAGCAAATTACAAATATCGTCTTTGACGATATTCAGCACATCATTCTGACACTTTAAGAATGTTTCTATCAAATCATATTCTGATTCAAATTATTTATAAGAAATCACATTGAAGTAATGTGGCAGAAATTTTAGTTTTTTTTTTATGCTGTTTTGAAATTGGAGAGAGAAACTGTAATAACTAGTTTTTAAAGACTGAACTAAAATACAACATATTTTGTGCTTTTAGTAACAAGTGTTTCCTAACAGAAACAGCATTTCTGTTGCTTAGTCATTCAGTTTTATTTTCTTTTCTGGCTTATTATGCTGACTAACACTCAGCTGTAATTTAAGTGAATTTTTTAATGATTCATTTAATGGTTACTTAAATGACGTGAGTTTCAAGTGATCACCTTATTTGTTACAAGATCTCTAAAGTATAATGTTCCAAACCAAAAAAAAAAAAAAAACAAAAAAAAAACAGATGTAGCTTTGTTATTATCTCTTATCTTCTCGGTAATTCCTGCCAATAAACTGATTCTATTTCCAGGATGGCCTGCTATTTATGTAATTTATGTCTTTCTAATTTCACATCTTTATTTTCTTCCCAGAAATACTTTTTGAAATATTCCTGTCCAGAATCACTCACTTCCTTGTCATCATGTTAATAGCATCATATATATGACTTTAAACCCACTGAAATGTAATTATATATTTATAGTTGAGAATTCTAGAAAGTGTAATATTTATGGGTTTGATTCTGAGGGTCTTCACTTATAGCGAATTGTTTCCTCAAATAATTTTATTTTTTGGTAAGTGAACTAATGTTTTTGGAGTTTTTTTTTTTTTCTAAAGACTATTATTTCCTGTGTGTAGATACTGAACTGTCTCATTACTCAGCGTGCGTTAAGTGGTATATTGACATAGATGCCCTTGAACCCCAAAGAATAAAAATTAGACATAAAGAAACACCTCAGCCACACTGTGCAGATTGGCTCAATGTCTGGACAATTTATTTAATGCTTAGATCAGCTTACACTAAGTACAGGGGTCAGCCTGAGGTGAAAGATGAGGTCTTCTCTAATTATACATCTTACACTGACGATGTAGGTATCCTTGCAAATTCTCAACATCCATCCATGGGTGCTCATAAACATTCTGATTTCTTGAAGAAATTCTCCTTGGCATTAGCTCCTAGGCATGGATTGCTCTTAAGTTGCTGTTGTATATGTAGCACATAACTTTTTTTTAGGATTTATTTATTTATTTATACAAGCACTGGGTACAGTCAGAAGCGCGGGAGCGTGAGAGAATTCACCAGAGCCAGAGCGGGGAGCAGAACAGGCAGACAGACAGAGGACACTGTTGAAGGGAGCAGCAGGAGAGGTCTGCGTGCCATGTGGGACCCTTGCCGGTGACCAGGGATCGAACCCGTGCTGCAGAGGCTGCGGGCAGCTTCCTTGCAGCCCAATGCTCAACCACTGCACCACCGGGGAGGCCTGTAGCACATAATTTTTTGCCCAAGGCATTTGTGGCCTGTTAGTTTGGTTTGTGGTAGTTTCAAGCAATGCCTACAAAAATGCCTACAATTTCTTTTCTTCTTTTTAGTATTTATTACATTTTTTCTTACATTGTTATTCATTTTTGTACAATATTTGATTTCTCCCTTGAGGTGTAGTTCCTATAATTCTCCCCCCACCACAGCACCCATGAACCATTACCGTAGTCCCTTGTGCTCTTCCCTCCCCTGTCTTGATCCATCTCCCTCCCCATCTCCTGCTGTATGCCTCAGATCTATGGTTTGTCTACAAATTTTGTCTTTTTCCCTATATTCCCTCTAAAGTGAGACCACCCCATATTTTTCTTTTTCCTTGTTATGTATTTCTCTTAGCAAAATCCTTTCCAATGCCATCTATGTTGCTACACATGGCATTTTTATCTTTTTTTGATCACTCAGTGGCATTTCATTACATCTATATACCACATCTTCTTGATCCATTCATCTGTTTGGGGGCATTTAGGTATTTTCCGTATCTTAGCTATTGTAAATAGGGCTGCAATAAACATGGGAGTGCAGGTTTCCTTTTGAATTAGTGTTTTCATGTATTTTGGGTGTATTCCTGGGAGTGGAATTGATGATAGATCCATTTTTAGTGTATTTCTGTGGTGGCTGGACCAGTTTAAGTTCCCAACAAAATGTAAGAGGATTCCTTTTTCTCTACATTCTCACCAGCATTTGTTGTTGCCACTTTTTTTTTTTTTTTTAACATGGGCCCTCCACACTGGTGTGAGGTGGTTTTGATTTGCATTTTCCTGATTATAAGTGATGTTGAACATGTTTTTATATACCTGTTGGATACAGACAAGCATTTATACACTTAATCATTGTAGAAATGAATTTTCATTACCCACTGTAACTTCTCTAGCAAATTAAATAATATGGCATCCTATATATATATTTGTGCATCAAAACGTGTATTTTCTTGGGGCCTCCTTGGTGGCACAAGGGGTTAAGATGCAACCTATGAAGCTACCTGCAGCCACTGCAGCAGAGGTTTGATGCCTGACCAGGGGGCTAACCCACATTGCACAGCAGACTTCTCCTGACTCAACCGCTGCTCCCCTCAGCAGTGTATTTCAGTAGATCTGCCTGTTCTGTTCTCCACTCTGTCTCTGGTGACTCCTCTCACCCTCCCACACCTCTGGTCTGTACCACAGTTCTTGTATGCAAATAAATATAACTTAAAAAAAAAAAAAAGATGCATTTTCCTGAACTTCAAATAAAAGCCTGTAGATGAGAAAAGAATATACACACACAAATAAAAAGAAGGGAGAAATGACATACTTTCTTCTTTTAAATATTTTAGAAAATAGGAACATAGATTTGATTTCTTTTCTCATTAAGGAAAAAAAAAATCTCTCTTCACCACCGACAAAAAAATGATAGTAACAATAAGTGTAAATATCACACTGTTAATACAAAGAATAATCAAATGTAATGTTCTGGTTTCCAGGAGAAGTTTCCCCAGAGACCATCCAACAGCTGTCTAGTAGTTTCAATTCAATTGTTTGATGATATGTCAACAAGAAGAAGTTCAAGCATGATCACCATGAGAATGCTAGGTGAATGTTTCCTGTCTGAAATTTCTTCCCAAAGATTTATAGTATCAGGCAAACAAATATTGCCTATGTTTATGATGGTTTCCATCCAGAGTGAATGGGAAGCTGAAAAGGAAGTAAGACAAGTACATGTTACCTTGGAGCAAACATGATTTTAAATGCCATTGTGTTTAAAATAAAACACTGTGTTTGAAATGTGTAAAGAGAGTTAAAATCAGGAAAGCAGTCAAACTTTAATTTAGAATTATGGGCGCTAATGTTTATATTGAGTACTCTTTAGATTCCTAACACCATGTCACCAAATGTTACTGATTTGGTTTCTTAAAGTTATACAGAATGTAGGAATTTAGGGAGAAGGAAGAATACCATGTGAATGAGGTTTCTTATACAATTTGTTGAAAGGTGTTATTATTCTGTATTTCAACAGAAAATCCATGATGATGAAAAATTTGAGCCAATGTAGAGTTTGAGATGTGAGAGGGCATCAGATTATCATATGTGCTGGAGGCACATTTGGATTGTGTATTTAAGCCATCTGAGTGGAAAATCTATTGCAGATATTAGTCATAGGGTAATGTCACTTATTTTGGATCCTGAAAATTAGCTCAGTTGTCTATTAATAAGAAAGGGAACAGAGTTAGATGTTTTTAGCACATCAGGGGAGTATAGTCCCCAATTTTTGATTTTAATAGCTCATTGATGTGAAGTCTTATCTAACTTTTTTTGTTAAGATTTATTTTTTTAATTATGTATGCAGGAACTAGGATATAGGCCTAAGGTCTGGGGAGTGAGAACGTTCTAGAGACAGAGTGGGGAGCAGAACAAGCAGATCTACTGAAATACACTGCTGAGGGGAGCAGCAGGGAGACAAGAGAGGTCTGCTGTGCAATATGGGTTAGCTTCCTGGCTGGGGATCAAACTCATGCTGAAGTGGCTGGTTGATGCTGAGACTTTAACCCCTGATGGGCATTTTGCATATTGAACACAGTACACTGCCTTTACTCAACTGACTTAACTCAAGTTCTCCAATACCTTTCCAGCTTTTCTTGGTGAGGTTTTCTTAATCTAGTTTGTTACTCAAATATTGGCATAGGAACCCTTCTGCTTTTTTTTCCATCTAAGGAAAAGATCCACAGTTGTCATGCTCTGAAGCTTACACTTTGTTATTCTTCTCTTTATTTTGTGTATGTGAGTGTGTAAGGCAATCCCAAATATTAGTTAAGATATGTATGATGGCATCATTGTTATACTAGGTGCCAAACAGATCCTTAATAGGAATACATGAGAATCCTTAATAAGAATGGCAGCTTTATTTGCAAAATTGGACACTAGAATTATTCAACTTTTACTATATAATTAGTACCTCTGAGAATAGAGAAAACTTTAAAATATTCAGGTCCTTAATGAATATTAAATATTATGCTCTGATGGTGCATGATGAATCTTTGTTTACATCACATGCAGAAGTTTTTGTTTACCGGAATTTAGAGCAACACATTGTGGTGAAGTCCAAAATTTATTTCTCTGTCACTCTGTGGTAGTGTATGATATAGAAATATAATATATCTTAAAAATATTATTTTTTCCTGAACTCTCATGACCTAATTCCTCTTTCCTATCATATTTAAAAATAATGTTTGACCATTGAGGGCTCTATATTAAGCTGTCCAATTGAATCAAGAATTTCTTGTCTTAGCACTATTATGAATGGAGTGTTGCAAAAAGTGGTCTGTTCAAATGTCAACTCTAATGGTTATGTGTTTTGTTGTGCTTTCATTTTTTTCCAGGCTAGTACACTTCATTTGCATTAATTCCTTCTGTTAGTCCCTATATAGTACCATTTCTACATCTTTACTAACTTGGTAGTTCTTTTGACTATCCTGGTTTGTAAATACCCTGTTCAAGTTTTCTTACACTTTGGATAATACAAGTGAAACAAGAAAAAAAAAAAAAGAACCAATATGGTAAAATGAAAAAACTTAAAAAGCTTCTCAATGTCCTCCTTTAAAAACTCATTTTATTTTAAAATAGTTTAAAATTTACAGAAAAGTTGTGAAATATACACAGTTCCTATCACCCATACCTAGCACTTAGCTTCCCGTACCTTGTGTTCATATGCACATCTATCACAATGAATGAACAATTATTGATATATTATTATTAACTAAAGAGCAGACTTTATTTAAATTTCTTTAGTGCGGCAGGCAGGATAATACCTCACAAAGATATATACATTCTAATCCAGTGAACCTGTGTATATTTTAGTTTTCTGGCAAAAAATACAATTCATATTACAGAAAGAATTGCATTGCTAATCAGTTGACCTTAAAATAGAGATTCTTCTGGAGTCTCCTGGTGAGATTAGAATAATTATAAAGTCCCTTCATTTTGGAGGAAAGAAGAGCTTGGAGTGATGCAATAAGAGAATTTATCTCACTCTGTCTGCTTTTGAGATTAGGAAGAGGATCAAAGCCATGTGAAATGGCAATCTCCAAATCTTAGAAAGGGCAAGAAAATGGATTCTTCCTTAGGGCCTCCAGGAAAGAGGGTAGTCTTGCCAATGCCCTTATTTTGTATTTCTGAACTGCATAACTGTAAGAAAATTAGTTTGTGCTATTTTAAGCCACTAATTTTCTAGTAATTTGTTATGGCAGCCATAGAAAAGATACACTTAGTCTTTGACCTAACGTTCTTTTCCAGTTTTGGGAAATGTTTCACTTTGTTGTCATGTCTCCTGACCTTCCTTCTTTCCTCTTTTATTCTGAGACATCAGGACCCCCTTCCCATTTTCTCTAATAAGAATTTTTCTTAATACTTACCTTGTGTCTTTGATTTTATCTCGGTGTCTGATTTTCAGAACTAAGTTTTATACCCCATTTGACAACTTCCCCAATTGTGCCCCAGATAGCTTACCACCAGTGACAAAAGAATGGGGTGGGGGACTAACAGATGACCACCCTCCTCCTCTTCAAATGGTTCAATTTTCTCCAAATCTCCACAGACACCATTTCCTGTCTTATTTCCTCCCATGTTCTGCCATACTTTCCAGTCCCTTTCTTTTGAGATCACTCACTCAACAAACTTTATGTATTTGAAACCCTGTGTCAGACTCCATACCTGGAGTTTTCCCTAAGGCAAGCCCCAGTCATGATTGAATGGATAAAATGGCAGGATGATCTCTGCTCTCAAGAAACTGAGAGTCCACCATAAAAAAAAAAAAAAAAAAAAAAAAAAAAAAAAAAAGTTTCAAGACGTAAGTGCTAAGATACTGACAGATATGGATACACTGGTTTGGTTTTTAATGTACTCTTGGCAACAGTCTGTCTCCTATCAAGTCCACTTTGGGTACTCTTACCAAGAGAGATGCACCAACTCTTTCGACTTGCAGAGGAGAAATTGAAATAATGGGTCTACTGAATTTGTTATTTCAAGTCACTTTTAAATGTATTCATTGATGAGTATTTGTAAATAAATTTGTTTTATTTGGTCACAGGTCATGGTTATAAAACATTCCAGTATATAGGATATTCCCAAATAGGGATAAACTGAATGAGGGTTTAATGCAGAACACTGGGTCACAGTGACTGCCAGGATTCCCATTCTAATTGTCTTACTCAAGACAATTACCCTTATAGTTCATCTTTAATCATCTTTCTAGAAGTGTTTTTCAATGGTCAGTCATTCTGTCTTTTGAGAGTTTGTCAATGAGAAAATAGTAATTTGAGTTTAATATCTACAGTGCTAATCCTGCCATATGAGCAGAACAATCAATTTAAAACACAGCAAACATAAATATTTGATGAAAAATTAATTTTAAGATCATATAGAAGCTTTTTATTTACCCTAATATTCTCATTCTAAAATCTGATCACCAGTTAATATGTGTGATGACATATCAGGACAAAACAGTCAAAAAAATTCCTGGAATAAGAAAGATGCTAATTAAGTTAATTTAAGTTAATGATGTAAATAGAAACTGACATTTTAAATGTTAAATGTTTTAATACAGCAAATGTTAATTGAGCACTACTCTAGATGGAGTTATACCAGGCAGTGCAGGGGAAACAAAGACATGGTTCCTGTAATGCAGAGGCATGAAACATGTTGAGAAGACAAATAAGTGCATGAGAAATTCTAAAGCAGACACTGAGGTGTACTATAGCAGAACTTTAAAAATGGTGTAACTGATAATAGAAAGATAAAATCTAATTCCACTGTGGAAGGGTAAAATATCTTAATTCCTTTGGAAGACTAAAAGTATAAAAAAACCTCTATTTTGTCTTTGGGTGATGATAATATACATATATACACATACCAATGTGAATAAAAATATATTTGTCAACAACAGAAAAAACACCTACCACCATCCATTATATCACCTCCATCCTTGCACCTACACCCTCCTTTAGGACTAATAACCACAGTTCAGTGTTCAATGCCTACTAGTTTATTTTGTTTTGTTTGTTTTGAGTTTTCCCTGTATAACATGCAGAGTCATCTGAAAACTTAGCCTATTGTTATGCTTCTTGATTCAGCTGGTTGGGGAACTCTCCATTTACCTATAAGTGCAAGTAGGGAGAGAGAAGTTAAAACACCAACAGTAGTACCATGGCCGTTTAGGCAACTTCTTTGTGAAACTGGCATATGCGTTGGGGTCCTGTTTGAGCTTGATCACCTAGATAACATTTCATTTGATGAGGAAACTTACTCATTTCAAATGAGTATGGCCAGGTAAACCAGATAATACTTGGGTTCATGATGAGCAGTTTAAGTTGAGAAAAAATATAATTGCAACAACATCTGTGTAGAAGAAAGAAAAGATGGGATCCAGAAAAAAGTGGAAGTTTTAGCCAGGGTACATTTTTCCTTAGTCACCAGAAAGAATGCTGTGTAGATTCCTATTATAAAGTTTTGCTTGCAAAAAGATGAGGAAGTCTTACTTTGTTAGCTTTCATTTTTTCTAATAAGTTTTAAAGCCATTTCCAAGATTTTTATGTTCATCTTCCAAAAATCAACTCAAATAACACCTTTACCAGCCATTGGTCTGCTTCCCTGGTCTGGGGTAGGTAACCATTTTTTTTTTCCTGAAGACTTTATCAAACATTTTTATTTTCTGAAAATACAATGCTGTTAATGAAAAGTATTGTTAATAAAGTCATCATATGATAACATCATTTTTGCATCTCGTGATTT